TGATCTCGTGCAGTCACAGGACAATTTTATTTAAGGAAGGAAAGATAGATAAGGGAACCCCTTTCAAGCAGGATTCCTGGCTGAAGGTGGTGTAGAAAGGGCTTCCTGTGAGTCAGTGTTTTGCTCGTTTATAATTCAGTTTTACTTTCACAGTGAGCCACTCCCTGCAGCCTCTCCGGGGCAGCGCAGCTGCGCTCGGTCCGACCGATAACCGAGGGTACAAGGTTCTCCGACTCCTCTTCCCCCCTCTCGTGTGAGCCCGGTGTTAGGACAGCTGTACGCAGTCCTGCCACCCCGGTCACAGGCGGTTTGTGACAGTGACAGCAGTTACTAACTGTGGGGATGGACACAATGCTCCGTTTTATCTGGAGCTTCTTGGGAAAGTGCTTTGTCCGCTGTCTGCTCGCTTTCAGACAGGGCAAAGTGCCGAGCAGTGGAGCTGCTTTGTTGCTAGTCCCCTTTTGCTGCTGTGATCTTTTGCTCCTTTATCTCCCCGTGCTCTTCTGCGTCTCGTGCTGAGCTGTCTTTGAGCTCTTGGTGTCTGAATTTGCGATCTTTACTCTGAATTTTCAATTTCTGCTCTTCGAGGAGGACCAGCACTAAACTGCTTCAGGGACTGCGGTCCTTGGGGCAGGTCCTGTCTCCTCCAAGAGTCTTTCTGTCTCTGGGTCTCATTTTCCTGCTCTTCTTCCTTATTCTCTCTGGTCATGGGAGACTCGTGGTGCTCAGTTAGCTGAAGGTCCTTAAGAGCTTTGATGTGTGCACACAAACGATGCTTTCAGAGCAGGAATTAGTCAGTGCCAGTCAGCAGTTTTTTCTGAAAGGAGGTTGTAGTGAGGTTGGGGTCAGTCTCTTCTCCCCAGTAACAAGCAAAAGGAGAAGAAACAGCCACAAGTTGCACCAGGGGAGGTTTAGACTGGATATTAGGAAAAAAATTCTTCACCGAAAGGATTGTCAAGCAGTGGAAGAGCCTGCCCAGGGAAGCGGTGGAGTCACCATCCCTGGAGGGATTTAAAAGATGCGTAGACGCGGTGTTTAGGGACGTGGTTTAGTGCTGGACTTGGCAGGGTGAGGGTAACGCTTGGACTCGATATTAAAAGTCTTTTCCAACCTAAATGATTCTCTGATTCTATTCTGGGGTGGTTTGGGGGGTGTAAGGGAAGTAGATGACTTTGAAACATGAAGGGCGCGCTCTCTTTCCACAGCCTCCATCAGCGGAGACACAGGGGTGATCCACGTAGTTGAGAAGGAGGAGGACCTCAACTGGGTGCTCGCTGATGGCCCCCACCCGCCCTACATGATCCTGTTGGACGGGAACCTCTTCAACAGGTCAGTTTTTATCTTCCCAGGGTGACAGGAACCCAAAAGACCACTCTAGGTCCCTAATCTGGTGGTGAAAATGTCATTTTTCAAGCGACAGATGACAGAATCAGACCTGACTGCACTGGAGCGTATCGAGGTTGAACCATTTTCCTGTGCTTTAATGCCTGGAGTTTTTTTCTTCTTAAATATTTTGCTCTTAGGTCTGCTCTGTGTAAATTCTCTTGCCACATTTGTCACTGTAGCAGTTACTAAAGTTCGTTAAACAACATTACTATCGGTCTCATCTCTTCCCAGACAGAGCAGGGAAGAAGTGGGTGAAGTTTTCTGCTTGTTGCTGTCTGCAGCGTAATATTCTGCAGCTCTGAGAAGATAAAGGGATATTTTGATCAAAAACATCCTCATGTGCTCGACTTTAATACCTCAGCAACTGTAACTCTTCATTAATGTATTTGAAATTCCACTCGGATTTTCTCTGTTCCAGGAAGGTGCTGATGCAGCTGAAGGGAACCTCCCGAGTGTCCGGCCTCGCCGTGGACATCGCCAAGCCCAGCCCTCCCCAGGGCTTCTCCCCTGGTTTGAAATGTCCCAACGAGGGGTTCGGTAAGGAATCGTTCATCTTTGTTGGGAGGAAGAGAAATGGTGCCTTTACATTGTGCAGTCAAAGAAAGAAGCGCAAAGGATGGCTGAAACCACAGCTACGCTTTCGTGACAAAATGGTGTTTAAGAAAACAGGCTCCGGATTTCCTCCCAAACTAGTTGGGCTGAGCTGGAATCTCCCCAGTTCTCAGCGAGGGATGTTTCAGACTGTTCGATAAGCTGGCTAAAACAGCCTGAAGTCACTAAACCTGACCAAGGATTGTTCTAATTTCTTTTATTTTAACGTGTGAAACTTGTACTTTGTCCCCACGCGGTCGTTGAAGCCTCTTGTGTTTGAATTGGTTGAGCAGAGTGTGTGTTAACGTCTCTGCCTGGACCACTCGCTACTTTTCAAAATTCCATCCTGCCTCCCTGAATTCCCCCAGTGGCTTCAGTCAGGTTTTCATTTCACCGTTTTTTCATGCAGCGAATTTACTGTCTTACACTTTGAGGGGCAAAACTGCTTCACCTGTAGTTTGCAGGAAGCTTTCTGCTGCGAAGGACGCCGCGCACGCTCCTGAACTGAGTTTGGAGCGCTGGCGTCTCTCCCGCCTCTGCCTTTCGTGCTGTTTGCACGGTTTTTAGGTGTTAAAATGATTTTCACATTACGGATGCCTGAGGGGTGCTTCTAGCTCAGAAAATGTGGGTTTGTCTGTTCCTCCTTTTGAAGCAGAACGTTTCTCTGTGTGCCTCCTCCGCTCTCTCAGCATGTGATAAATGCTCACGCCAAATCCTCCTGGCACGGGCTGCCTTTAAGCCGGCACGTTTCTCCTTCTCGCCGCGTGCCACCGTGCTCTGTCTCTGCCCCATGCAGTGACCGACTCCATCTCCCAGCTTTTGTCAGCTGGTTCCTCAGCCCATAATGACGCTCGTTCTCTATTTGCTGCTATTTTCTCAGCAAGCCCTACCTTTCCTGCAGTCTATTTTTTCTCTTGCACGCTGAGATTTGCCCATTTCTTTCTCTTTCCAGGTGTTTATTCCAAAGATTACGGCCCACAGTTTGCGAACTGCAACAGGACCGTGTGGAATCCCGTGGGGAGCGGGCTTTCGTACGAGGATTTTGACTTCCCGATATTTCTCCTTGAAGATGCCAACGAGACACAAGTGATTAAGCAGGTACTGCGCCTCCTCCACGAGCAGGAGCAGGGAACTGCTGCACAATTCAGGAAAAGGGGACAGAAGTTTTGTTTTCTCAGCTTTGAGGTTCAAATCTCCAGTAAAAATGTCTGATCCACTTTTATACACAATGCTGTGATAAAAATGCAAGGTTTTGTTATTTTTTTTTTATTTCCATCCAGTGTTATCAAGACCACAACGTCCCTCGGGATGGATCTGGTCCCCAGTACCCTCTCTGCGCCATGCAGCTTTTTTCCCACATGCACGCTGTCACCAGCACCGTTACCTGCATGAGGCGCAGCTCCCTCCAAAGCACCTTCAGCATTAATCCAGGTGAGCGGATTCCGCTTTTCTTCACGTGATATGGGATAAGGCTGGTGGTAAAAAAAATTCCCAGTGGAAATAGTTATGTAAAAGAAATAAAATGTTAGAGTTTCCCTAAAGGCTTGCTAGCCAACTGAGTCTTTTCAAAATAAACTATTGGTCAGGAATTTTGGGGTGTGTTTGTTATAAGTTTGGAAAATAATATATAGAAGAGGTGCTGGTTGAGAAAGAGACCAAATACTTGCTATGTGGATCGTCAAGAATGGCTCTGAGGTTACTGCTGCGTTAGACAGCGTGTAAATAAATTGAAATCCTGGTGAATGTTTTGCTGGTGCCTTCCCTGGGGCCAGGACTTCACCCCCGCTGAGCAGGAGTTTGCTGCAGCTGACCGAAAAGCTCATTCCTCCCTTGTCACTGTTGTAGGCTCAACTCAAATAATATTTTTTTTTTCTGCTTCCTAGAGGTTGTGTGTGATCCTCTTCTTGATTACAACGTGTGGAGCACCTTGCAGCCCATCAACTCCTCCGGAAAAGTCGAGCCTGAGAAGGAAGTCATTATCGTCGCTACGCGAGTAGGTACCTCTTAATCTTGCTTTTAGAGCTGGACTGGAAGGATTCTGGGAAGATGTGGGCTTAGTTTTATGGAAATCCAATTCCTCTGCCCGTGTGCACATTTTTTTTACGCCTCCTGTTCGTGCTTACAGATCGACAGCCATTCCTTCTTCTGGAACATCGCACCTGGGGCAGAGAGTGCCGTCTCTTCTTTTGTCACCCACTTGGCTGCTGCAGAAGCCCTTCATAAAGCCTCAGATATTCATTTGCTGCAAAGAAATATAATGTTCACCTTCTTCCAAGGGGTAAGAGCAGCGGCATCGCTCCACCATTTGGCTTATTCAAAGATAGAAAATCAGCCCTTGGCTCCCCGCAAATGAACTTTTTCCCTGTTCTTTGTGCAGAGTCATTTGTCTGCATCCCCACGCCGTGGTTCTCTCTGCTCCCCCAGTGAGAACAGGGTTGTAATTGCACTGGGATAACAGCAGCAGATGGAGCTTCTGCTGGGGCAGCCCAGATTCTGCCCCACGGTTCGTTCTGGATGAATATCTCAAACTTTGCTTTCCCTCCTGCCTGTATGTTCTCTGCCTCACCCCGTTCAGGATGAACTGCGATGGCCAGGCTTTAAATTCTGAAATGAAGCCCAGAAAACACTAGATTAAAAATATATGTGTTGACAGCAGCGAAATGTAGCTCATTTCTGTGAGCCCAGCGCTGGATTTGGCAGCTGTGGGAAAGCAGAACGAGCTTGTGGAGGAGGGACTGATGGCCAACAGCTGATGTTCCCCTCAAGGCATCTCCACTGATGGCTTCTTTTGTGCAGCTTTGAGAAACTGGCTCCCACAGCTCCACGCTGTGATTCCCTTCATTCACCCTCCCCAGCACATCTATCCCTGGTCAGAATTTCCCTGGGGGAGCCAGGATTATATCCCTGGTGAGAATTTCCCTGGGGGAGCCGGGCATGCAGCAATATGGAGCGAACGTTCTCTGTCGTGCTCCCAGGATGGAGGAGGAATGATGAGACTTGGCTGTAAATTCATCAAGGGGCAAGTCTGGTGCCTGGCTGATTTCACTGCCCTTCTCTGGGACAGAGATTCTCTCCTTGGAGGTGTCTGTCCTTCCCCAGGCAGTGCTCAGCTTCTTCCAGCTCCTTTGACAAACTCGTTTCTGCCATCTTGCCTTCCCTCCCTTTTTGAAGGGGAACAGACATCTCTCCTTTCAGGAAAACCTCACATATTTATTTCCTGGAGTGGAGAATTGCCTTTTTCCCTGACTTGCTGTCCTCCCTACCCAAAAACAAAGAGGATGATGTGTGCCAGAGTAGAGTCTGTATTAATGTCTTTCTGCTCTTCCCCTTTTTTTTTTGCTGTTTACCTTCATTGTTGTCCTTTGCTCCATCCCTGCCTCCAATACCGTTGTCTTTGGGGCCAGGGAGCTATCCATACATGGTTCATATGAGATTTTTTTTTCTGTTGCAGGAGACCTTTGATTACATCGGCAGCTCCCGAATGGTGTACGATATGGAAAAAGATGTGTTTCCTCTACGCTTGGAGAACATTCATTCGTTTGTGGAGTTGAATCAGGTGTGGGTTAAGTTTTGGGACCTTTTTATTCCCTGTTTCTCTGGGATAATGTAGCTGTGGTTTTCCCAGCCAGGTTTGGATTTTTTTTTTCCCCTCGGCTGGACTTCCCTGCTCTGCAAGACTCCGTGATGTCTAATCATATATTTATGGTGGATTTTTTTTTTTTCTTGCAGGTGGCTCTAAGGAATGACTCCATTTTATGGATGCACACGGACCCCGTCTCTCGAATGAACGAATCTGTTCAAGAGCAGGTAATAGACAGCGACCTGTAGTTGCTCATTTAACCAAAATGCTGAGGGATCTTTAGGACACTTCAGCTGATCAGGATGTTAATCTTTCCAGAGAAATTCGGCATCCAAAAGAATAGCGGAACGGTGCCTTTTTCTCTTCTTTCAGGTTAGAAACTTGCTCGATGTTCTGAGTAGCAGCAGCGCAGGAGCAAACGTGACTTTGCAGGAAGTTGGATTTTCGCAGCCTCTTCCCCCATCTTCCTTCCAGCGCTTCCTTCGAGCCCGGCACATCCCTGGAGTGGTTCTGACTGACCACCAGACTGCCTTCCAGAACAGGTACTTCTCCGGGATGGGATGGCCGGGCACGGGCTGGCCCCCGGCCAAAGGCAGCGGAGCCGGCAGAGGGCATCTGCGCTCCTGCACGGGCTCTGCCAGGCCTGTGCGGCCTCCCGGCCGTGTAGAGCCGCAGTCTGGGGGGAGAGGAGAAGCAAGCGTGTGCCATGTCATCCAACAAGCGCAACATAATTATTCTGACAACCGAAAGAAATCCAGTTTTGTAGAGAAAATGTTCCCCACAGCTGGCTGCAAGCCAGAGGTGAGCAAATGGCAACTGAGCGTGCCTAAGCCTCATCTGTTCTTCCAGAAGCTAGCTGCCTTTTTTTTTTTTTCCTCTTTTCTTTTTTTTTTTTTTTAATATAGCTTTCTATTTGTGATGCCAGAAGGCCCCAGGCATTGGAAGGGGCACTTTCATTCACCCCACATGACCCTACCACAGTGTGTTCCTTGGGGATCCCCTGCTCTTTGTCAACTTTGGAAATGGAAATGTGGGGTAGAGGACAGACATATGCCTCTCCCCTTTCCCCCAAACTCTTCCAATTC